AAGACTCAAGAAACCATCAAAGAATCTCATGGGCGACCAATAAACCCGGGTGTCAAAACTGCCAATTATACGCCGAATTGGCAACTTTGACCCCCAAAATGGGGGGTAAAACTTCGAGATAGGGAGAAATGCCCATTGACACTTTTGATCAGTAGGTTAAGACCTACAACATATCAAAACGCCAGCCGATTTAACCGGGCCCACTTTTCCCATAAGACCGGTCCGTCGTCCTTTGACACGTGTATTACGCTTGAAGGACTTGGAGGACAAGGCGCATATTCCTCACTGTCATAAGGCTACATGTAATTTGGAAAATTTTTAACACGAATTTCTTGAAATAGCAAAAACTAGGAACGTAGTAAGTTATGCGCCTTGTCCTCCATCCTCCAAGCCCCTCAATCAATACATGAGGTTCAGTCTGATAGACTCAAATCGTTAAACTTCTATATAACTAAAAGACATCAGCGCTTGGATTGTTGAATCGTTGACGAAGAGCTTGATCGATAAATAACATTACCAAGATACGGATGTATGAATCAAGTTCAATTAATAACGATTCAATAATCGACCCACAGGCGAGGACGCATTACGATGTGTTGCAAAATTTCTGTCATGTTTAATTTTTTCTTCGGAAACTTATAGTCAATGTAATTCCTTGAAAACTTCCTTGATTTTTCATCTCCGTTAGTGGAATGATCGGTTTCACTTTCAAGCTATATAGTTGGCTTATTTATCTTTGAAAAAATAAGAAATAGAGGCGGAAATTTTGGAACACTGCGATTGAGAAACGTAGGTTTGCACTCTGGTGATAGTACATATTGAAACGAGGAAAAGGAAAGAAGGAGTGTCAAAAGAGGAGGCGGATGACGAGAAGAGAGAAAAAGTAGGGGAAGAAGAAGGATATGAAGAGGAATTGGAAGAAGCGGGCGATGAGGAAGAAGAACAAACAGAGGAACGAGTAGAATTTGACTGAAAGACCAATATATTTTATTCGAGACAAATGAGACGCTTCATAAATTTTAGCGTACTGTGCGATAAAATAATTACTTTATGAGAAGTTTGAAAGTGTAGAAGGTGAAATTTTTGTGAAATTAAAAGCATCACTTTTAACAAAGTCGCAGAGAGTAGTGCTTTGAAATGTCAGCATAATACTTGAAAAGACAAAACGCCTTCTCTCTTTCGTTTATGCAATACGAATGTCCTTCGACCAAGAATAGTCGCATTCAGGTGTTTTAGTATAAACTTCCATTTCATTGGTTTGGAGATGCCATGGTGTCGAGCTCTATATACTTTGAAACTTTATACACTTCCTTTGTGAGTATAGTTCTTCTTTGCGATTTATTTTTAACAGAAAATCATTCGAATTGAGTAAAACTACCTCAAATTAGCTGAAATAGTAAAGCCATTGCATATAATTCATAAATTGAAAGGTACCATCTGCTATTATCTGTAATTTTTTTTGATCTTGCAACAAAAATGGTCCTTGTTTTTTTCTCACTACTGACTTTCATCGCTTCAAACCAACGAGTATTTTACTTGATTCTGTTTCACGACGAACATCGAAAAAAAAAAGGTCTTTCCGCACTGAGAAAATATTCGAATGCTATGTCAAATGTTGTGGAATACGCTAACGGTGTTTGTCAGAAAGGAGGTCGGAAACACAGACGGATTATTAAGTTGATATACACGCAGTCAAAGCATAGCTCGGTGTGATCAATTGCGTTTTTATGTGTTCCACCATGCTGCGTTGGAATTTCCGTCAATGTGCTTTCGGTTTTTCCGCGGCTAGCAATATCCCCTGAAATAGTTAGTTATTATAATTTTGAGACATTCAGCGACTCAGGCTATTAACGTCTTTACAGGTAATTTTGAAAATATATAGGAGTATAAACGAAAATTTAGATTTTTAAATTAAGAGAGGTAAAGAGTTTCAGAATTTTGGTGGCAATATTATAATAGAAGGGAAGTGTATTTATATTCATGTAGATGTGAGTGCATTTGTTGGGGGATATAATGTGAGGTCCCGCAGCATTCAGCCTCAAGCTCACGACTACTGAGACCGTAAACAAGGAAAGAGAAATATAAGCCTCGCACTGCTATGACACAATTTTTTTCGATTGCAATGGATCGTTTTCTCCGAGTGGATATTTCAGTGAGACGTCAGAAAATAAAGTGTAATAGAAAGCTCGTGCAGTGCCCATAGGTATCTCGAACTTTTATGCATGCGTGTTGTCTGAAAAATGAAGATTTTGCATCGTCTCTGGATTGTATTTCATACTTTATTTGTGTTGGACGTTGGTATACATGCATGAACATTTTTCGCAGGAATGCTGCGCGTTTGGGTGCAGATTTATTTGTATATGTCCTTTCTCTGTTCAAAGCTTTGACCAAAGCTTCGCATCCATTCATGATCGCGAATTTTTGCAAATATTTCTTGTGCCAAAGCAGGATTGACCATTTGACCCAACAGGTTGACATGGTAATATTTTTAATTGTTAAAGGAAGGTTACACGTTAGGCTTTCTCAAAACGAATTTTGACCACCAACAGTGTTAGAAACAACTTTTCGGAATCTTACGTATTGTTTGTACGTATTGTTACGTATTTGTCTGCGTCCTTCATTTATCCCCTTAGTATATAAGAACCATCCATTTCAACCAATAGGATGGCTCCGTACCTACTCCCAATGTCTTCTCTGTTTATCGCTTTATCTATGAATTTCAACAATCAGCCCGGCGAACTTACTAACTTACTTAACTACTCCTGAAGTTGCAATAGTTGAAGTATACCTACCCGAGGTAAAATTTTTTCGAGTATCATCATCCTTATGAATCGTAATTGTTGAAATTGATTGCAATTTCAACAATCATTCTGGAGGAATCCCATCTAGGAGAAACCTTATGACGATTGAAGCAGTTCATGAGCCTTCCGTTAGGAAAGAAGGAGATGAAGAATAGGTTTCTTTGGGCGCCCGAATAAGGGTGCAATGCCATATCATGTCGAGGCAAGGCAGCCGTAATGAGCGAGACAGCAGAGCCCGCAAATCTGATTTATTGCGAGCGAGCGGTTCTTATTGGGAATTAAATTGTTGCGCTTTGGCAGGGGCCGCAACTGGCTGCATTGTTATTAGCATAAATTGCAACGACCTGTTGCTAAAGCCCCGAGGCTTACGACCTAACTACGGCCCCGCCAATCCCCCATTCGAAGTAATAATAAGTTTTAAGCGTGGAAACCACGAAATGCGCCTCGTAATAGGTTTTAGGCTTAGCTCCCCGCACGTCAAAATATTTGATAGCGCGTTTTGAAACTAACAAGCAGTGTTCGAAACTCACAGGCGCCAACGCGCCAAATGCGCCTAAAAAATGAAGACTCTGCGCCAACGTGGCCCCTAGAAATTGCCCATTAAAAATCTGAATTTTCATATTAGGCGATTATTCGAAATTTTCAACACTACAAGTGAAAGCTTTTTCTATTCCTCACGATTTCATCATTTGTGCTTTTGTCTTCCCCAAGTTACAATCCTATATATTAAAATGCAAAGTTCCGAATCTTGGGGCATTAACTTTGAGAGAACCAACGGACCGATTTGCGTGATCTTTTTTTTAAATGAAAGCCCCTGAGCTGTAGATTTGCAGGCTGTGATCGTTTTTTCGATTTTCTCAAATTTTCTCCCATAATTTTCTCAAATTTTCTTCGATGCATTAAAACGGAGGTCCGAATCTTTGGACGTTAACTTTGAGAGAACCACCGGACCGATTTGCATGATTTTTGTTTTAAATGAAAGCCTGTGATCTGTAGATTTGCAGGCTGTGATCGTTTTTTCGATTTTCTCAAATTGTCTTACTTTTATCGACGAGTGAAGTTTAGCTGGGCTCAAATTTTTTCCCATTTATTCAGACTAAAGTCCGCATTTTGGGACATTAACTTTGAGAGAACCACCGGACCGATTTTCATGGGGTTTTTTTTAAATGAAAGCTTCTGATCTGTAGATTTGCAGGCTGCAATTGTTTTTTCGATTTTCTCAAATTTTCTTACTTTTATCGACGAGTAAAGTTCAGCTGTTTCGAGCGGTCATCCGGCCGCTACCTGCTTGCCCATCCCTAGATACCCCCCCTCTAGGGTCTCAGCCACCCCTCCCACCACTTTCTTTCGGCTATCTCCGTTTTCTTTCGTCTAGCTTTTCTCCCACCAACCTCAAAGAAGGAAGTTTGGGTCGCATCGTCGTTCGTCACTCGCCACCCACATTCCTTTGCTATCCCTCGGCTGCTCCGCTTCACAGCTTCTTGATATCCTGGCATCTTATTCTCTGCGGCTTGACAGACCCTGCCTTATTAACTGCAGTATTGCGTATTGCTATCAACACGTATTGTTACAGACATTTTATTCATCATTATTAAATAGATTCAACTAATTGCTCCGATTCCAATTAAGCTGCTGCACCACCATTGCTAGCTGTGGAGGGCGCCCGTAGGGCGCCCGGAGCAGCTAGTTACTTACTAGTTCTCTTACGAAAACATCTTGCGTCTATATTTTCACTAAATGCGCCTTAATGTATAGGCAAAAAGTCAATTTGACCCCTAAAAAATCTTTAATGGCGCCTAAAAATTGGGCTTGACGCGCCACATGGCTCCTAAAACTCAAAGGTGAGTTTCGAACACTGCTGACAAGCGAGGGGCTCCGACACTCATGTGTTAGAGGAGTACCCTCAGAAATGAATCACTAGTAGAGGTAAGACTGGACTAATAAAGAGGGCATGTGGTGAAAAAATATCAAAATCAGGTGAAGTTAATTTTATTGCTGAGCCAAAAATGGACCGCGTTAAACAGAAAGGAACCAAGCCACATCAGCTATTGCCACATTGAATTGGGAGTTTCTTCTTTACATGAAAACGGTTGTTAGGGTTTTCTTGCTTTCAGTGAATTTTCTCCATAGCATGAGGGAAATTCATCAAAATTTTCAAAGGAATCCGCTCAAACGTTCTATTGTAAAAAATGTAATTGCCCAGTTAAATTTGGCAATAGCTGATGTGGCTTGGTTCCTTCTTTTAAACGTGGTCTAAATATAAAATGAAAGGCACTGCGGGCTGAGTGTTGAAATTGATAGACAAAGAGATAGACAAAGGAGACATACTTAGTATGAATTGGTCCTACTGGTTGAAGTGTGTGGTTGTTGTTGTTGTTAAAGACTAAGGGGGTAAATGATGGACTAACAAAAGGGTGTCTCATGGGTTGCCGTTGGTTAGTCTAATACCTAACTCCTTTTTCCATTTCAACCCCCCGCTTCCACCAATAGGATACCATCACATCCTTTTTGTCCTCTTTGTCTATAGCTTTGTCTATCACTTTCAATAATCAGCCCGATGGAGAACTAGATGTCTTATTCGATGCAGAAATGAAAGAAAAAAGAGAGGAGAAGTAATAGAGATATGAATGAGGAGGAATAGAAACAAGGGGAAAAGATAGATACAGAGGAGAAGAGGAGGAAGGAGGAATGAAAATAGGATAAAAACATTGACCAAATGATGTTATTCCATTATAATATGGTTAAAACGCCTTGAAAGTAACTAAAATCAACTTGCAGCCGAAAAAATAGCAATGAACGTTTACATTAGAGTCAGCAAATTCAATTTCCTGCTCACGATGAAAATCAAAATCGATATGAAACAAGTCAGGCATTTGGTTGATGATCCTCGTGACGTCCATAAATGACGCCTGAATGCAACTAAACGTGTTCGAGGGATATCCGCATTGCATATGCAAAACAGTGAAGGCGCTCAGTCTTCTTAACACTTTTACCGATGAGCGGGGTAAGCTGAGCTGCGATCTTAGGGCAAAATTCTTATGATTAAAATGAAAAATTTCGATGTTGCGCATTGTTTACTATCTGCTTTCTATTCACAGATACTTTTCATATATTTTAAATCTTGTGCTGAAAATTGATGTTAATTATTTTCAGTTGCGATTGGAGGAGATTATATCTGAATTTGTTCAGAAGAATACATTATTTTCACTCATCATCTGGCAGAATTGAACATCGAAATTTAAAACATACAAATTTTTACTTAGGCAACTCCTGGTTATACTTCAAATCCACACATCTCAATCACACCAATTCAAAATAAACCTCTGATTTTGGGTTTTTCAGTAAAAAATTAAAATTACGGCACGAAATTTTTCACGAAACGAGTGATGTGAAAAATCAGCGCAAATTAGAAGCTTCGCTTTTAATTTGTATCTTCTTGGAAAATACAAAAATATCGCGACAAAAGTATAAATAATTAAGTTGAGATACGTAGTATTCGAGCTAAGCCATCAAATGACGCCGAAGAATACGCCCGCAAAATCGGCAGATTACACTGGAAAAAAACACATTGCATCTAGAATCCAGACTCTTGAAAACATTCACAAGAAAAATACTCTTGATTCAATCGGATTTTTGCTTGAATCAAAACGAAATCCGCCTAAATTAAGAGGCTTGGTTCTTGGTTTAAGCTAGATTCTGATTGAATCAAGAGTACTTTTTCTTGTCGATGTTTTTAAGAGTCTGGACTCTAGATCCAATGTGTTTTTCTCTCCAGTGTAGCAGATTTTGCGTTGCGGTATGATCATGAGAAAATTACCTCTGTTGTGCGCTTTTTGCATTTGTCGGATGCGGCGAAGATGTTGAAATGCGTGCTGTCCGGCGGCAGCGGGCACTGGTCGATGTCCACCCTCCGCAAGTCGATGTCAATTCCGCTCGTCCCTCTGAAACACAAAGGAAGCCGTTGTTAGCAGTTTCAAATCTCATCAAAGGACAATCGATCAAACTCAATTTACTACACTTTCTAGAGAAATTGCTATGTCCGAGCTACCTAAGGCCTTGTCCACACGAGCATAGTTCGAGGAACTTACGGCGATTTTGTCCCAGGAACTTGATATAACTTACCTGTTACTGGATCGCGTTCAGCAAAAAGGAACCAAGCCACATCAGCGATTGCCAAATTTAACAAGGCGGTATAATATTTTACAAGAGAACGTTTGTACGGATTCCTTCGAAAATTTTTGGGAATTTGCTTCGCACTATGCAGCAAATTTACTGAATTTGGCACAACCGGTTTTATGTATAAAATTACACCGCCCCATTAAATTTGGTAATCGCTAGTGTGGTTCGGTTCCTTTCTGCTTAACGTCGTCTAACTTGTTCCTGAAACCTCCGGTTCGTGGAACGTCTATTCCTAACTGCAATCGCAACGACAAGGCCTCTTCCCACCCCCTCACTACACACTGAAAGCTACCTACCTATGACTCCACTTCCCGGCAATAACGAGAAGGGACTTTGAGTGTTTTAAACCGTCATGGCTTATCCAATTGGTGGCTGAACGGCACGTTGAGAAAAATTCTCATAAAAAATTGGCTAACATCTTTACATGCTTTGTTCCTATCGTCATAATTTGAAACTAAGAAAAATAATACAGAAATACGGTGGTCGGTAAGTTAATTGTCTGGGTATAATTATCGTCTGAAAAAAATGATATCCAATGCCACCGAGCTAAGGCAGAACACCATATGAATTTCAAACAGAGAGAGTATTCACAACCGGCAAAAAAATGTTCACTGTTTGAAAAGTTTATAAATATTTTCTCCTGAATTTTTCATTCGCTCTGGATCAAATAAAAAATTGAGCTCCCTGAAAAATGTTAAGAGGAAAATGGAGCAATGCTGTTGGTTGAAACAGGTGGTTGGTATAGATTAGGTGGGAACCTGATGGACGAACTATAGGGTCTTGTAGGTTACCGTTATAGTTAGTCAATCCTTATCTCATTTGTCCATTGCAACCACCCGCTTCCATTAATAGGATCAGTGGCGTGGCGTGCTTGGCGATCCATCGATATCTCCCCATTTGAAGCTGTGGTAAATAATCGATTATTAAGGTGTTCGCTGTGAACACCCTGTTTATCGATACTTTTCCATAGGTTTAAATGGCCGATCAATCGATATATCGCAAAGCACGCCACGCCACTGAATAGGATTGCTCCATTTTCTCTTGGTCTCCTTTGTCGATCGCTTTGTCTTTTCATTTCAATAACCAGCCTGATGTTTTCATACTCAAGTGCAGTTTATTAGAAGTAATGGGAAGGTAGAAGCATTTCCTGGATATGCCGTTTAAGACCCTGCTTTTGGCATGAAGCGATGATCGTAATTATTAATCACACTTCAAGGTACTATTCGTCTCGTCACTCATGGATGCGCTCATTCGTTCAGTTAATGGCTTCATATCTCATTGTTTCACTGCCTTTCATTTCAATTTCTTCCACGCCGATTTTCATTCCGCCGGCGAGGAACAAAGCATACATTTACATAATGCGGCTCCGCGGTTTCGCCTTCGACGGGTGGATTCGGCAACTATTCTTACGTCTCTGTCGTTAATTGCATACTTAGTTGAATGAAGGCGTTATGCACTGCCGTTATGGTTTTACTGAAGGAGTTATATACTGGGGTTCCGTGAATCTAGATTAGAATAGTAGATTGGGCAGCTATTGAAGTATTACTGTCGTGAATTGATTCCTCTGTGAAATGGAGATGATGCATGTGTGAGGGATTTGCGATTTGACCATTGATTCTTACGTAAAAGTTCGCGAGAAACACGATGGTGCCACTGGTTTTCTCTGAAATCATCTCCCAAGCTCAAAAAAAGGTCTGAAAGTGAGGCCAAAATGGAGGGGATATCGCACCCTACCCTGAGAGTCCACCTCTACATTAAAACAAACTCTCCATGCAAAGATAGGGAGCAAATACATTGACAGGGCTGCCACTTTATTTGGGGACTCTAAAACTAAAAACACGGCAACCCTGCTAATGTATTTGCTCCCTATCTTTGCATGGAGAGTTTGTTTTAATGGAGAAGTGGACTCTCAGGGTAGGGTGGGATATCCCTTCCATTTTGGCTTCACTTTGAGAGTTTTTTTTTGAGCTTGGGAGATGATTTCAGAGAAAACCAGTTGCACCATCGTGTTTCTCGCGAACTCTTACATAAGAATCAACAGTCAAATCGCGAATTCCCCACACATGCAACATCTCCATTGAAGTTTTTAGATTACCGTGATAACAAGAGCAACGAATTCATGCGGGAATTCAATTTAAGGCTCTTGATCCACCGTTTATAAGGAGTTCCACTGTGATATCATATGAATGACGTAGCCACTAAATCACTCTATTATGCATCTAGAAGTTACTAAAGTCTCGGACTGATATCTCCATCGAATCTCTTCGTAACATTTTCTCTTGGGAAAAGTTGGGGGAGGCGTCAGAGATGCGATCCGAGTAGGAAGTAAAAAATAGAGGATTTGTATCGGACTAAACAGAGTGTTTATTCGGAAGAAAGGAGCCTTAGGAATCGAATGCAGATGTGATATTTGAGCCAGGAAGAATACAAATCGACGGCTCATCAAGGTTGCAAGATTGTACGATAAATTCGGATATTTTACACGGGTTTAAATGGGTAAATGTGCCGATTTCAGCAATATCAAGCAACAATGCGGCTCATCATTAATCACAGTTTCGAGCCGAGTGTCTGAATGTCCGAATGTCGAATCTCGTCGAAGCGGACTGACACGGATCCACGCTAAGATGCCGGATAGGGCTGTGTCACCACGTTAAAGAAAAACGACGTATGAATAGTTCGATATTGCCAAAATTCCTCTGATAAATTAGAAATATTTCGCTATTCCGACAGTATTTTTTCTTAAATTTTTTTCTAAGATTTAATTTGAAATTTAATCCAGTGTATCCTAGAATTTAAGGGGAAAGTTTTCACGAAATTTCTCAAAACTAAATATTTTATTTAAGGACATTTGGCAATTTGCAAATGCTCTTACGACGTTCTCCTCGGCCTATACAGTATTTTTCGTCACTCTTTTTCGTTCCTTTTTTGCTCTTACTTGCTCGACTGGTTTACATCGTGATTAATGGAGATTTGAGGAGGCCTCTGATAGAGTATCAGCGGAGGGGCGATTGCGACGATTTTTGGGATATTTTTTGTAACTCAATTGGCCAAGAGGCTCCTGGTAAAAATTGGTGATACGAGCTGCGTTTCAAAATACCATAGGAGTTCTTATAGCCGACTAAAGAAGGCTATTGAAAATCATATAGCTGGCTGTAGAAAGCGGAGCAAATCATATAGCCGGGCTATACGAAGCTATAAAAAAGTATACAGTCGGGCTGTAGTTCCTATCGCCGGGCTTTACACTGTATCGCCATTGGCTATAAAAGGCTATAAGAAATTGTGCAGAAATTCGTGTGCTTTGGAAATCATTAAGTTTTATACGGAACTACCTAAATATTTACAAAACACACATTATATTTTCCTTTAAAACATATTTTTTTTTCATCAATTAAAATGAGATGGTCCATACAGAGTGTGCAAACATTTCAAAATCATCAGTTGAAAAACGCTGACTCCGCGATATTAAATATTAGAGCCTAACATAAAGCGGAGCGGCGACGCATTGGCGCCTACAAACCCAACAGGGATACTTCACGCATTGCGCGGCGACGCACTGGCGCCTACATACCTAACAGGGATACCTCACGCATTGCGCTCCAACATATTGAGGATGACAGGCATCCTTCAAAAGTACGGAGCTTTCCTCGCAAAATAAATCAAGATACTACGGCACAAAACGAGAGCGGTAGTCCAAAAACTAACTAAGTCCTAGTATCCGTATTTAGTAACGTTCAGCATAAACTTTATCGGCTGGCTGTTGCTTAATCGCCATCGGCTATAAAAGGCTATAAGAAATTGTACAGCCGGCTATAGGTCTGTAGTATTTTGGAACACACATTCTACTGCCAATTTTTACCAGGGGCACAGTTCCTCCAATGCCAATAAAATATTCTATTCCGAGCAAACAGTGCTAATTCTCAAGAGTTACGACGCACGGTGGATCGAAACCTGCAAAAAGTCGGACAAGGGCGATTCTCACAAACAGTCATTTCATTGATGTAAATGTCTTCCCAAAGAGTTATATTTTATGATACAGGTATTGGTTTTCAATTTTTTAACCCCAGTTTAACGCACACAGCCTCCTAAAGTGGCTCAGGCGGCACTCGAAAAATGTTGCCTCACTCGGGACAAACCGTTCGCCTGTTGGTATTTCCCTCCGATAGATTTATGACAATTTCTGACTAAAGTAGCTTGTCCTCCTCCTTAAGTAGAATATATTTCACTAATAACAAGTTAAAATATCGCTATTTTTATAAGCGGTATTCTTGCTTAAAAGTACCCTCCTCAATACCGTAAAAATAATAATATAGCTAGACTTTTAACTAGCTATTTCAGCGTATTTCAGGGAAACCTTTGTATAGCAGTGTTAACTGATCCCTGAAGATTCATTATCAAGAAAAATTGGCTGCCCCAAAGTGCCATTTTGGGAATAAAGCTTAAATGATTTTGAAAAAGTGAAGTTCATAAAATGGTGGCTCGAGAGAATTCGAATTTCACAGGCCTGTGGCGAATAAACACCGAGCATTTGATAGGTGATCTGTATGTAATTTTTAGTGCTGAGTCCGAAAATGTCCTTGGTTTTTCTCCTACACCCACCGATTTTCCGGAAAATTGAGATTTTCCACTTAAAATGGACTTTTCGGGAAATGTGATTTTCCGGAAAACTGGTGCATGGTAAAGAGAAACCAAGGTCATTTTCGAATCCAGGAGACAAAAATACATGAGAAAACATGCCTTGCGTGGTTAAAAAAATGTCCACGTTGTTTCAGATAACGGAGTTTTCCTCTCAAATGTCCTAATCGACGCATATGATACTAATCCGTTTGTTTTGCGTCTGAAAAGACGGGAAAATTATATCAAGTTGGTGTCTAATGGAGCATTTTTCATCTACTACTTGATGCTAAAGTCAAAAATGGCCTAAATTCTTTTCTATCTTCTAACTATTTCCCAAAAACTCGCGTTTTTTTGACATCGGATTTTTTTTTTTTTTAAATGTTTAATTTCTCCGGAAAATTAGAAGTTAATAGAGAAAATTGAGGTAATTTGAGCTTCAGCAGCAATCATTAAGCCGAAGAAGCTCCATTAGATACCTAAGTATAAATAAAGGCAGTGTACAATGGTGACTCGCGGGGCCCTTAATTAGGAAGGCTCGGATAATACATGATTTGTGTTGATTGATGTGTATTTGATTTATATTTTTCTCTCATATTTTTCCCCCTTGTCATTTTCTTTTGTTAGAAAGCTAAAAAGGTGCCCAAGGAATGAAGGGGAAAGGAGATCCTCTGTTTTCCTCTCAACATTTTCGGATTTCTATTAATTCATTTTTTGGGGGAGAGGAGGGGGAATTGTAAAAGAGATGAGTAATATACGTTTTATATACGATATTTAAACATTTTACCGGAGAGAAAAGTCCATTGAACACTTAAAACTCCGATTGAAATGAGTGTAGAAAGTTTAAACTTATCTGTTGTTAAACAATATCTCTTTATTTATCTGAAATTGTGCCAAAATACATATCTAAACCCAATAATCAGGAAAATAGTCATCAAAAATGAAATCTGCGACGAAAAATACATAAAAATCATGTATCCTGATTTGTTTTATGAGCGCAAACACTACGTAAATGAGCAAACCAAGTCGCGTGATGTGCCATGTCCGGCCTGCCCTATGACTCGATCCACCGTGCGACGCAGTCAAAATTACTGATCACAATAGCTGATGGAAAACTTGAAGGGAACTGTATATAGCTGTAACTCATCAAAGATTGCACTTGCAGTGCAAGACGCTCATTGGTTAAACCGTTTTGGCGGTTCTAGAGTTGAATCCTCCGAGCGTAAGAAAGCTTCTTTGAGGTTTCTGTCAAATGGAATAATACGGTTTTGACAGGAAAATGTTCTCAAGGGTTTCCAATTAGCAGTTCATTCGGTTTTTTGGTAAAAGACCATCAGGGCTTGACAGTATAACGGTTCAAAAACGGGTCCGAGGAAAAAAATATTTGGACGACCCGTTGAAAAGCATTGGTTGATCGGTGTGCTGTACTATGGTACATCCGAGTGATTTCAAAAAGCAAGCCCTCCTGGCACGCTTAAAAAACCTCACGGATATTCCACTCCACGTTTACTTCGGCTTCTATTTGCGACTTGTTTCGTTGCGAACTTTTGTCGGAAAAAACTGACACTGAATCAGTTTATATAGATGGTTTTTTTAACATTGAACCTTACTCAAACTAATTTATGTACTTAGATTCATCTGTGCTCACAAGGAAAAAATACGAGGTGTATTGGTATTGCGCGGAAAACAAGGCTCTTGTTCCAGTTTGGTTGTAGGAACGAGAGACCCTGCTCCCAAATTTGAAACTTTCTGTTTCTATTTTTGTGAAACATCCAATTACTTTTGTCGGTCAAAAATTACATCACGATAGTAAATTGACTCCTCTTTCTCTAAAAAATTCGGCCAGATGCTTTTGCTGGTGTAAAAAACAAGCAAATGTCATATCACAAACCAGGCAACTAGGAATATGCATGACGGCAACTGAGTAAATACATGGACTTGCCCTTGTTGATAATGAGTTAATAGTCGGATTTGGAACACGTGAATTTGTACAGATTTTTTCAAACTGATATAAAAATGCCGATCATACCTACATTTAGCTGGAAAGCTACTGACAGTCTGAAGTCGAAGTGATCGTCGAACAGGCGTCATAAAATGACTAAGTAGTTTAAGCGGTTCACCCTATTAATCCTCTTCTCGGTAAGTTTTTTTAAGTCTCCTCATTAAGAAACAGTGACGCTTGGCCCATCTTTTAAGTCACAGTACTTTCTTTTCGTATACCTTGTTTAGTTATACTTCAGAGCATGAAACCGGTCACTAATCGGAGACCAAAATTTATGATAAAAAATCGATGATTGGACTTTATTTTAACGTAAGAAACCACAATTTCTGGCGACAACAACACATGTACCATTAGTTTTTTCTACACAGATCGGTGCATGCTTTCGAGGATGAGCCAGAATCACTGGCTCCTTATTACATAAATTACTCAAGTAGTCTTCATTAAGCAGTACAAATCTACTTACAAGGGAATTCTGATAAGACAAATTGGCATTAAAGCTAACCCCATATTGATGGTGAAATTTCCAAATTTCGTACTCCGATTTTAGACGGTTTGGAGTTAGCTGAATAGAAACGCTACAGGAGATATATTTCATCTACGATCAAAGTCGAAATCAATCTGGAAGTCACCCAGAAACATAATTCTGTTCTCGCGTGATTAAAATCTAATTAGAAAAACGCATAACCCATGCCGGCTCTTGTCTGAATCTATTGGATTAAGTGGAAAACCCGTGTTAATAGAGTGATCAAACATTATGTCGCGTCAATTCCAATTCTGGTCATTCCTCCTACCGCTGACACCGCGCGCCGCAATGCGTGAATTGTATTAAAGCTACCTGACTAGTGCATCAAAATTAGAGCCCATTATTGCAGTAAAATATATCTTAGGACAATAAGAGGCCCTCTTCAAGGTGATTCGATGGACGCCATATTTTGTGTCAGAACGGCATGCGATATATCGCATCAATTGGTTCCATTATTTCAGCTACTCGTCATTTTTCTCCAATTTTGAGATCGCAATTCTGTTGTCAGGAGACTAAAGCACTCACTTACCAATTTTAACAAAGAAATTCAACGTAATAAAGGCGTGGTTTTTTCAGAGAGAAAACCACGCCTTTATTACGTTGAATTTTTTTGTTAAAACTAGAGGGCTCCGCCCCCTGGCCGCTCCGCGGCCCAACCCCCTCGTAGATTCTGTCAATTCATGATGAAAATATCACATAATTTTTTTTAATTCCCATTATTCTTGTAATTTTTATTGATACTGCTGAAGTTCTGTTAGATACTTATTCATTCAAAATATCATCATCAATTTAGCTACAAACTTACTTCAATTAAGTTTGGAATTTTAAGATATGGTGAATAATCTGTTTGAAACGGTTTATATGGGATAAAACATGATGGATGGAAAGTAAACATGATGGCCTTTTTTGTGCGTACGTCTGTGTCATTCCGCATTCTCATTGGTCTTTCATTAACCAATCAGAAAACGTCATTGAAAATCCCCGGGAAATTTAAAGGTATTCTTCCGTAAATCATTCGATATTAATGATAGGTAGACACGGATAAAAATGGGATGTATTTCTTCTAGTTAACCAGGATAAAATGGAGGAATATTACCTATTCAGGATAGTCCTGGAAAAACGGGATGTACCTCTATTAATAAACTGGGATGAAGGGAAGGATATCGATCTTCGTGTATCACTCTTCGATATATCGTTTGATTTAAAGGAGTATTGATTGGGATAAAAGGTGATTTCTTCTCATTAACCAGTATAAAAGGTAGTAATATTACCTATACAGGATAGTCTTAGAAATAACGGGATGTACCTTTATTAATAAACCGGGATAACAGGAAGGATATCGATCTTTGTGTATCGATCTTCGATACATCATTTGTTCTAAAGCAGTATTGACTGGGATAAACGGTATTTCTTCATAATAACCGGGATAAAAGGGAGGAATTTTACCTACACAGGATAGTCATGGATAAAACGGGATGTAACTATATTAAGAAGCCGGGTTAACAGGAAGGATATCGATCTTTGTGTATCGCTCTTCGATACATCGTTTGATTGAAAGCAGTATTGACTGGGATAAAACGGGATTTCTTCATAGTGACCGGGATAATATGCAGTAATTTTACCTATCCAGGATAGTCATGGATAAAACGGGATGTAACAATGTTAAAAAACCGGGATAACAGGTCGGGCTTCTCCGATTTTATCCCGGTCGTGATTTAGGGATTTAATCGTCCAAAAATGGGAAAATTGGGGAGAGGAACGGGCAGCCTCGCCGTATTGTGATTATCGATACATGCGATTATCAGTTTGATGTGTTTTTTGTGTTTGTTGTGTGTTTCGTGTCACAAAAAACACATCAAATGCATCATGAAACACAGCAAACACATCCAACACATCATGAAACACAATCAAACATATCAAACACATCCAACACATCATGAAACACAGCAAACACATCATGAAACAAATAAAACACATCAAACACAACAAACACATCATGAAACACAATCAAACACATCAAACACAGCAAACACATCATGAAAAACATCAAACACATCATGAAACACAATCAAACACAACAAACACACCATGAAACACAATCAAACAAATCAAACACATCAAACTGACAATCGCATGTATCGATAATCACAATGACAATTTTACCTAAACAGGTTAGTCATGGATAATCCCGTTGTATCCCAGTCAATACTGCTTTAGAAGAAACGATGTATCGAAGATCGATACACAAAGATCGATATCCTTCCTGTTATCCCGGTTTATTTATGTAGGTACATCCCGTTTGTTCCAAGACTATCCTGTATAGGTAATATTCCTACCTTTTATACTGGTTAATGAGAAGAAATCACCTTTTACACCAGTCAATTCTCCTTTAAATGAAACGATATATCGAATATCGATAAAACACATCAAACATATCAAACTGATAATCGCATGTATCCATAATCGCAACACGGCGATGCTGCGGTTGCGTAGCGGACCCGTTCCTCTCCTCAATTTTCCCATTTTTTGACGATAAAATCCCTAAATCACGACCGGGATAAAATCGGAGTAGCCCGACCTGTTATCCCGGTTTCTTAACATTGTTACATCCCGTTTTATCCATGACTAGCCTGTATAGGTAAAATGGGCCTGTTGCATGTAAGAGATACAGCCGTGCGAATAGACTTTCTAGAGGTTAAATGACACGAAAATTACGATGGTCACATTAAAAAAGTCTGAAATACACTCCTTACTGCGCAATTTGTGTTGTTAGGAACGCGCTTTTTCAAATTTCCCGCGTCTGGGGGCAGTTTTCTAACGGAAACAATTAACGGCAACTCGCGGCTATTTCCGGTCAACTAAAACTGACAACATAACCTAAAAATCGGAGCTCGTGACATCGTGAAATGAAATGTAAAACGATTGCGTTGGATATTTAAAAGTTGATCGATTTGGTTACCGCATAAAGCGTATATGGACCACAATAGGAGATTACGTTGTGTTTGTAAACAAACTGAAGGAAAAAATAACAACAACAACGACTCGGCATCTTCCGGAAATCACCGAGCCCGCCGTTTGCTCGTTTCCGGTGATTAGAAAACTGCCCCCAGACGTTGAAAAAGCGCGTTCCTAACAACGCAAATTGCACAGTAAGGAGTGTATTTCAGACTTTTTTAATGTGACCATCGTAATTTTCGTGTCATTTAACCTCTAAAAAGTCTATTCGCGCGGCTGTATCTCTTGCATGCAACAGGCCCATTCCTCCCTTTTATCCCGGTTATTATGAAGAAAACCCCTTTTTTCCCAGTCAATACTGCTTTAGAACAAATGATGTATCGAAGATCGATACACAAAGATCGATATCCTTCCTGTTATCCCGGTTTATTAATAAAGGTACATCCCGTTATTTCTAAGACTATCCTGTATAGGTAATATTACTACCTTTGATACTGGTTAATGAGAAGAAATCACCTTTTATCCCAGTCAATATTCCTTTTAATCAAACGATATATCGATGAGCGATACATAAAGATCGATATCCTTCCCTTCATCCCAGTTTATTAATAGAGGTACATCCCGTTTTTCCAGGACTATCCTGTATAGGTAATATTCCTCCATTTTATCCTGGCTAATTAGAAGAAATACATCCCATTTTTATCCGTGTCTACATATCATTAATATCGAATGATTTACGGAAGAATACCTTTAAATTTCCCGGGGATTTTCAATGACGTTTTCTGATTGGTTAATGAAAGACCAATGAGAATGCGAAATGACACGGACGTACACACAAAAAAGGCCTTATTTTTTTTTACTATAGTAAGATAAGATAAGATAAGATAAGATTGGTAAGTGAGTGCTTTAGTCTCCTGACAACAGAATTGCGATCTCAAAAGTGGAGAAAAATGACGAGTAGCTGAAAAAATGGAACCGATTTATGCGATATATCGCATGCCGTTCTGCCAGAAAATATGGCGTCTATCGAATCACTTTAAGTAAATTTGAGCACGCTTTTTCTTACGGTTCTTCGTTCGATCTTGAGGTGATTCGACGGACTCCGTTTTTCGTGTCAGAGCGACGTGCGTTATATCCCATATCGATTCGTTCCATAATTTCAGCTACTTGTTATATTTCTCTAATTTTGAGATCGCACAATCGTTCTCATGAGACGAAAGAATTCAATTTGACCCAATCTGACCCAAAAAAATCAGCGTAATAGAGGCAGGGGTTTTTTTACAGGAAAAATATCGCATTCGAGTGCAGTTTCGATATCAGGGTCGAATTCAATATTTTTCCTCTAATAAAATCCTGCCTCTATTACGCTGATTTTTTGGGGTCTTTGGTACATGAATTTTTTCGTCTCATTTCGAAACCTCGCTAATTCGAAGAAAAAGCCGATTCCCTTCAATTTCGAATTTTCGAGAGTCTACTGTACTAATCAAAAGCTCTGAAGTCTCCAAACACATGATATTTAAAGTTTTTTTTCGTGAATAGACGATAAATTTGGGCCTGAATTCAATGGAGAGGCGTGAATGATCAAATATCGATATTTCTCCATTTGATCCTATGGTAGAGAATCGATTGTGAAGGTGTCCTTTGCGAGCACCCTCCTGATCGATCCTTTTCCTCATGTTTCAATGACACGTAAATCGATGTATCGCAAAACATACCACGCCACTGCCTGCATCAATATCACTGTAATTCATTGAACTTGACACCTGGTGCTGGCTACCGGATTTCTAAGGGATTGAATAATGTAAACAATTTGGTAATTACTGCATGTTCCCATGTGTTTCTTACGCTGTTGTTTCTGTAGGTTTGAATTTTGTTTCCCTCAATAAATATTTCAATCGATTATTGTAATTATTTACAGGTCTCGACTTTTCTTGCGCTCCTCATGGTTCCGTCAGCCCAAGCAGGTGTATGTATTTTTTGCTTTAATTCTTGTTACATCGATCAATTTAGAAAAAAAAGGGAAAGAAAAAAAAAAACAGCGGTAGAAAGATTCATTGTTTGTGATAATAATATCGTTTCACGTTAGAAGAATGACTATCCGTGCTTTTAGCACAATCTTCTCACTTTGTTACCGTCAGTCTCAAACACATGGAGGGAAGTAAATAGAGAATTTACAAGTGTCTGAAATTTGAGGAAATTTTGTGTTTTTGTGGAAACGACTGAGTGAGTTAAATACGAGGGTATTCTTGGTTCATAAATTGAAAAATTATTGGAGGAGGATTGACAAAAAGATCTAATCTGGTAAAAATAAAATACATGTGTTTAAACGAGAAATACCGCCTGATGATGTCACAAGGCAATATATTTTCTTACTTTTAAATCTGTTTTTATACTATTTCCCAAATTGGAGACAAATTATAAAAAATACTGCAAAAGTAGCTCTTTAAGCCCTCTCTGGTGAAGCAGTAAAATATTAGCGAGCGTTTAAGGCAGGCTGTCTCGTCTCACCCAAAGTTTATATATATAAAATGACAATGCATCTGAACGGAGGAAAAAACTGTAATGTCTACTTCCGAAAAGTGCTGCTGCCTTGAAGTCAGTGTATGATATCTGCAGTCAATGGAGATGTTGCATGTGTGAGAAATTTGAGATTTGACTACTGATTCTTATGTAAAAGTTCGCATGAAACACGATGGTGCCACTAGTTTTCTCTGAAGTCAAGTTCCAAGCTCAAAAAAAGCTCGCAAGTTGAGGCAAAAATGGAGGGGATATCCCACGCTATCCTGAGAGTCCACCTCTACATCAAGACAAACTCTCCATGCAAAGACAAGGAGCAAATACATTAGCAGGGTTGTCGTGTTTTCAGTTTTAGAGTCCCCGAATAAAGAGGCAGCCCTGTCAATCTATTTGCTCCCTATCTTTGCATGGAGAGTTTGTCTTGATGTAGAGGTGGACTCTCAGGATAGCGTGGGATATCCCTTCCACTTTAGCCTCAACTTGAGAGCTTTTTTTGAGCTTGGAAGTTGATTTCAGAGAAAACCAGTGGCACCATCGTGTTTCTCGCGAACTTTTACATAAGAATCAGCAGTCAAATCGCAAATTCCTCACGCATGCAACATCTCCATTGCCAAGTATATTTTCATGGAGAGAATGATCCAACCGTTGACTTCTATGCGACCACTGACGGTCAAAGTTTGCTTTTCTGGTGAGTGAATTCATACAGGGGGAGAATATCAGAATATCTCCTATGCCACCTATAATTTGAAGGATTGCTTTCTAGTACTGATTTTGTTTCATCCTACGTTCACATTGGAAAGATAGATACTATGAAGCATATTTTTATTAAAATTATTCCGTAAGCTCACACTTTATCACTTGTTTTTCCAGGTAAATTTGGCGAGCAAACCCTTTGTAAGTTCTGCTATTTTTATATTCCATTAAGTTTACTGACAGTAAGTTTGGTGTATAAGTTATGGTTTATACAAGGTGGCCCAGACCTACCGTACCAGGCCTTTTTTTCGGTTAATTTGGGTCGTACGAAGTCCAGGATCGCGGAGATGAATAGGGAATCAACCCCCAAGAACCCGAATTTCATGGTCCCACAGCCCCCCTGGCGTCCCTTGGGGGGTAAAATGGTGGTCCGTACTTCAAAAATCAGAGTTTATGTCAAAATTTTGAAATTGTTTCATCGGAATCAGAACGTATTAGGGGTCGGTATTTTGGACACGGATGGGCCGATTTTGGATTTCTAGGTGTCGATTTAAGTTAAAAATTTCCGTACGATCTGCTTCCGATGAAATAATTTCAAAATTTTGGCATAAACCCTGACTTTTGAAGTAAGGACCACCCTTTTTACTCCCCAAGGAGCGCCAGAGAGGCTCTGGGACCAAGAAATTCGGATTCTTTGGGGTCGATTCCCTATTCATCTCCGCAATCCTGGACTTCGTGCGACCCAAATTAACCGAAAAAAAGGCCTTGTACGGTAGGTCTAGGCCACCCTGTATGATCTATTGTTTACGGTTAGGATATTAAGTAATTAAACCTTATTTGCAGAATTTTGTTGAACCCTCAACGATGAATTTCGGATGACTGGTCACGGTAGATTATGTTTAACTTCCACTTTATTGTTATAGAGTGCAATACCTTAAAACCATATAAGGTCGAAAAATCAAAAAAACAATATGAAGACAGTTCATTTACTCCCATTTTAATCAATTTGTAACTAACATGAATATTTATTATACAACAAGTGGGACTTTACATTTGACTTTATGGAAAGATGAAACTTCAAACCTAATTTTTCACCGTTCCAAGTTTATGTTCCTTGTATTCCTTGGACTGGACACAGCGCGCATATTAAAATTTGTTTTTCGTTGTACAATTTCAGTGTAATGCGGGCCAAAAGGGCAATTGCGAACCTCCTCCGAAAGAAGGAAAAAACAGGCCTTGTACACCTCATAATGATTGCGGCAGATCCGGCAGTGGCTAGTGGAATCTTCCTTAGCAAGGATATTTACCAAAAACCACAAACTGAAATCCTGGGTTCTCTCACCCAATTTTATGTAAAAATCAATTACGTGTAACTGAGTTTTCGATCGATGTAATTTTGATCCTCTTTTTTCCTAGTCATTTTTATCTTTTTGTCACTTATTTTCCTCATTTTTACTCTTCTCTTCTTTTCCCTTGTTTTTTTCATTGTCTCTCTCTTAATCCTCTTGTCCCTCCATTTTCTCTTCTTATTCCTCTTAATTTTCTAATTTCCCATCTCTTCTCTCCTCTCCTTAATCCCCCTCCTCTTCTTCTTCCAGTTAGGTTTCCTCTTCCTTTTTCTCCCCTTTCTTCTACCTCTTTCCCCCATTTCTTTTCCTTAGTTCTCTTCGTCTTCCCATTTTTCTTCTTCTGTTTCAAGTTCTTTTTCCTCTTCTTCTTCCTCTTCCTGTTTCTCTTACTCCTCTTCCAATTTGATTTTTTCCACGCAGATGGGTGCTTTAATGAATGAGCCAAAACAACTAGCTCCTTAACCTAAAATGTAGTCCATCTGATATTTTTGTGGAACAATTATTCTCTTTTCAATGATGGCCTCGGAGGCTGTAGGGGTCAAATGGACTACATTTTGCAATTTGGAAGTATACATTCTAGCCCGGTTTAAAAACGACGTATGTGCCATTAGTTTCCCTATGCACATAAGTGTTCTTTCAGATGAGTTAGAATTTATAGCTCCAAATTGCAAAATGCAGTCCAAATGTAGCACTCTACGGTTGAGCTTTACAGGTGTAATTATTCATGCGCTTTGTATTTACTACAGGTATTAGCTTTCAGTGAGTATAGCTATTTTGTGTACACGATTCAAGTGGTCCTTGAGCCAGTCAAATACTTATTGTTCAAGTCAAAATAATTAAAAAATAAATATAGTGTATAAGTGAATATACAGAGACACGGTTCCTTCTTCCTAATTTGGCATAATTTGATATTCTGTTACATATTTTTTAAACGTATTCAAGCAAATTTTAATTTATTATTTTCCAATATTCTTTCAGAATTTATTTTTTTTTATCTTCTGTTTTTTCTACGTTAATTGGTGTGTTCTGTTCTCATAATAGATAAAATATATTCATCAGTTCCTTGAGTTAATAATGGCCTTTTCTTTGAAGTTATCGCGGCAATACCTTCACAGAGCTCCTCCTTCCATTTTGTTGTCTTTGAAAAATCTAACTTTTCCTGAGTAATGATTTTAAAATTTCAAGCATAAACAAGAATTAGACTTTCTTTGGAAAATTAAATATTACAAGAGATTTGCATGGTCGCAATCCGAGAAATATGGTTTGGTGGTTTCATCATTAATCGCGCAAAACAATGCTGTTCTTAGAAGCTAACCCTATGTTTGTACAATCAGGAGCCTGTGGGAAATTTGTACCTTAAAATTGCCTTGATTTTTATTTCTGATTCCTCTTAAATAGCAGCAAATGTGTGAAAGAAATTGCACGGTTACATTCTGAGGGCCAACGAACAATACCACCTAACTGACGATTTTGGCAGAAATCAGTCAGCGACTTTGCAAAATTTTACAGTATAAAACACGGAAGCTGATGATTTCAGTTTGTTTCCAATTCTGTAAAAAAGTGGCTCGATGACGCTGTAATGTATGAAAAAATGCTAATCCATCTTCAAAATTACAAAAATGGCGAAGCTTCCTCTTCGCTGTGCATAATTTTCAGTTTGCAGATCACCGAAAAAAAGCGAAGTTGATTCAAAATTCTGGGTGTAAAAAAAGTGTCCGAAAATCTATAAAATGCTGAGTTACTCGCTACAGCGGTTGCCTCAGCAATGCCAATATCGACGGTGAAACTACCAAACCACGTATCTCGTTTGCGGTGTTTAAAAATCTACGCTCGCATTTTATTTTTTTGAAGGCGACCAAATCAATATCATTCCTTGAAATTTTCACAGAATTTTCTCCGCACAAAGAGAAAAAAATCACAGAAATTTTCAAGACTAGACGTTAAGTAGTTTTTCATTTAAAAAATAAAGTATGACAGGAAGTCTGCGACGTCGCAAACCGAGATACGTGATTTGGTAGTTTCACCGTCGATATGTAAAACTAATAACGGTAGCAGGTAATTCAGCATTTTATAAGTTCTCGCACACTTTTTTTACATCCAGAATGTTGAATTAACTTCACTTTTTTTTCGGTGCATTATTCATCAGCCATCGATTCTTGAGAAATAAAGTCGTTAAATCCAATTTTGTAGCTTTGGATTGGGGTTGCGTTTCTTCGTCTGCGAAACAAGGGATATACCGTTGATCAGAGCGACTGAATCCGAGAGAGGCACTGAAAAGGCTGAAGAAATTCAGGCGTTAAGAACTGGAATAATCCTCGGGGAGAACGATCAATATGTAAATCCAGATATTTGCATCCGCTGGGAATGATAGGGTCAGTCCAATCCGGGATCTAATCCTTTCGCTTTGCTAACTTATTCGTTGAACGTATAAATGCCGCCGCGCTGCATCCATTATGCGTCATGCTTACGATGGGAAAAAAGGGAAGCGGCCAATTAAGTGCTCCCATTCTCAATTGCCAGCCGCGTGTACTTACCCTTGAACAATTTACGATTCCTCCTGGCCTGTCTTGTTGAATCATTATAGAGTATATTTCTATAGACGCGACTCTATCTATCGATCAGGGCCATTTATTATCGATTAAGGTGAGACTGTACACTCCATTTAAACTCATGTAAAATATGCTCATACAAATGACCCTTTTTCTCAGGAACTGTTAAAGCTATCAGTCTGAAATTTTTTGAGTGTATTCTTTATGAGGTGGTGCAGCACTGGTACTAGGATTAAGACTTTACTGACATAGAAAGTGAACTTTTTTGAAAGTTCAAAGTTTGTTTAAAAAAACCCCTGCTTTTTTAGCTTTAGGAATATTTTGAAAAAAGTTGAGTTGAGTTACACACAAAATCCTAGTTCCACTTATGCTCCTTACTCTTGTGAACAGATCAAAAAAAAGTTTATGAAGATATCTCTTCTAGTTCCTGAGATAAAGGGTCATTTAGTTAAAAAAACCAAACTTTCGGAAACAGTAAAAATAGAAAAAAAAGTAGCATTGTTCCAGTAAGTATTTTGAAGAAAATAAAATCACTCACATATTTACTCAAAAGCTCCTGCTTTATAGAACTCTTCCTCATCCTCCAGTTTTCTTTTGCAGCCAATATTGCAATATTGCAATATTGCAATATAATAATATAATATATAATAATATATATATATTATATATATATATATAATATTGCATATTTGCAATATTGCAATATTGCAATTTGCAATATTGCATGCAATATTTGAAGAAGCACAAAAAATAGACCGAAAAAGGAAAGTATAGCATGTTATATACCATTTTAATCAGCAAAGCAAGCTGTTCAAGAATATATTATAAAACCAAAATGTCATTTTTTTTGATTTTGGGTTTAAAAATAAAAAATAGAAATCTTGATAGACCAAATCTAATAAAATTGATAGTATGTCATTTTACTCATCTACCAAATAGTAGTATAGCAAAGAAAAATATTTGTAAATAAAAATAAACTGCCAAAATCGAAATTAAGATCATTAATCTTACTAAAAACTTAAAACCAAGATATCAAAGATAGTTAATCACCAATCCTGCCATGATACGGAAAAAAGCAGTAAGTACATTCTGAGAAAGCCTCGACAAAAATAAGAGTATGTGCCAACCGTGGCTCATGCAGAAATGCACATACTTCCCTCTTCCGCAACAAGGCAGAATTGAGCCTCACTGTCGTGGTAAGGAAAAACGCCGTATGAACATTCGCGAGCTGCCAATATGCAATGAAATATTAATTTTTAAGGGGAGTTATGAATATCTATAAAATCTTGATGACTGGCAGTAACGTTCGATGTTTTGACATAATTCAGCACAAAGAATAATTTTACAAACTTTTAGGGTTAGTGTGCACTGGAAAAAAAAAAAAAAAAAAAAAAAAAAAAAAAAAAACACATTGGATCTAGAGTCCAGACTCTTGAAAACATTGACATGAAACAAGAAAATATACTCTTGATTCAATCAGATTTTTGCTTAAATCAAAAGGAAATCCGCTCAAATTAAGAGGCTTGATTCTTGATTTCAGCAAAAATCCGATTGAATCAAGAGTATTTTTACTTGTCGATGTTTTTAAGAGTCTGGACTCTAGATCCAATGTGTTTTTTTTTTCCAGTGTGGTTTTGTTCTCTTAAACCTCCCACCTCATTTTTTTTAAAAAAATGAACTCCCGAGAAATCGTCGCATAACTCACGCAAAAAATCGTATCTACATATTGACGCGGCAAAATTTCCACTTGAAAAATTTTAGTTTTTTCGAGGAAGTTTTGAGCGTTCCAATGACCAATTTTCCCAATTTTTTTTTTTTTTGATCACATCTGCAAAATTTTAACAGACATTGCTTGATCACATGTTCGTAAAAATTCAGAAAATTTGAGTTAAATTTGCAACCTTGGAATGAATTTACGCTCCTCCATCCGGAAAACGACGAAAAGTCTGTGCCGGTTCACCCCATTACGTTATCAACCTCTTTGCAAGATGTCAAAAACGCAACCACCCACTTGGAGGTAAATGTGGAGGAAAGCGGAAAAGAAAAGAGCCGGGATGCAGTCAATTCAAGAGAGAAAAATCCAAGCGCACGGCTTAACCGAGACAAACTTGAGGCTTAGGTTTTGATGAAATGGATACACCCTCCCAGCGTCCACCGGAAAAGAGCAGTAACTCAACCCTAGAGAGAGCCTCGAAGCGCATATGAGCACGTCCGAACCGTAGCTTCCGTTCAAATGGAGTTACTGTCCTCTTGCGTAGCACAACGTCCTTCCCTCGCGCGAGCTTAAAACCGTCGCTCGGCTGACAAAAGGTCGTAAATATACTTAACGTGAGCCCGAGAAAGCATTGAATTATATGGAAGGCGGGGCTCATCGCGGAGTGTAGTTAGGTGGTTTTTGTGCGGAAAGCGACGAAATGATGCACGTTTATCTCTGATTCGGACGGGGAAGCGTTTCGGCGAATCGGAATCACACAACAAACGCGCGGTGGTTCGGTGATCGTCTTGAGGTTAAATAGGTATTTTATTCGCTGTATTTCAGCTTTAACCCTTCCGGAGCCTTCGCAGCGGGTCGAAATCAGGGTTAAATTGCTTGTGAAGCCGGGCCACGATTCGAATAATTTAATTAATTTTTGGATTAAGGAACAGAGGCGGCGCTGCGTTTGATGAAGAGCCAACTCGCCCGCTT